AGGTGCAGCTGGAGGAGGAGTATGAGGACAAGCAGAAGGTGCTGAGAGAGAAACGGGAGCTGGAGAGCAAGTTATCCGCTGTCAGTGAGCAGGTAGGGCTGGGGACAACTGGGCCTGTCCCTCATTTTGGGGACTGTGAGGTGGCTGTGGCGAGGTGGGCACAGCACTGGTGTGGTGCCGTGGCATGACCCCCACTGCTGCAGGCCAACCAGCGGGACTTTGAGACGGAGAAACGCCTGCGCCGCGACCTGAAGAGGACGAAGGCGCTGCTGGCAGACGCACAGATCATGCTGGACCACCTGAAGAACAACGCGCCCAGCAAGAGGGAGATCGCCCAGCTCAAGAACCAGGTGTGCCTGACCTGCTCCCCTCCCAAAACTGCAGCCCTTGAGGGATGTGGAGTGCCCCCATCCCCCGGCCGGGTGCTGAGCTGTGTCCCTGCAGCTGGAGGAGTCGGAGTTCACCTGCGCAGCCGCCGTCAAGGCCCGCAAGTCGATGGAGGTGGAGATCGAAGACCTCCACCTGCAGATCGACGACCTCGCCAAGGCAAAGGCAGCAGTAAGTGGTTTTGGGGTGCGATGCCCCGTGACGGGGCGCATGCTGGCAGGGTGACCCCATGCTGTTCGGGGTGGTTTTGGTGGGTGGGTGCCCCATTCCTGGGGTGCAGCGAGAGATGCAGGCGGCTCCCCGCAGCTGGAGGAGCAGCTGAGCCGGCTGCAGCGGGAGAAGAACGAGGTGCAGAGTCGGCTGGAGGAGGACCAGGAGGACATGAATGAGCTGATGAAGAAGCACAAGGCAGCTGTGGCCCAGGTGAGAGGGGACAGCACTCGTGGCACCCCCGTGTTCCCCCGTAACACCACTCTCGGAGCCATGGAGCGGAGCTGATGGCCCTGCTGTGTTCCTCAGGCATCCCGGGACCTGGCACAGATGAACGACCTCCAGGCACAGCTGGAGGAGGTCAGCAAGGAGAAGCAGGAGCTGCAGGAGAAGGTGAGGAGCACCAACAAGGGGCTTGGGGTACAGAGGGGCACCCAGAGACTTGCTGCCAATACTGGTGGGTGCAGAGCCATCCCACGGGGAGCTCCCCATTGGGATGGGAGCAGCGTGGTGGGGACTGAGGAGATGACGGTAGGGGCTGAGTCTGTGCCCTCCCTGCAGCTGCAAGGCCTGCAGAGCCAGCTGGAGTTCCTGGAGCAATCTATGGTGGACAAATCCCTGGTGAGCCGGCAAGAGGCCAAGATCCGTGAGCTGGAGACCAGGCTGGAGTTCGAGCGGACGCAAGTCAAGCGCTTGGAGGTAAGCGCTGGGCTCTCCCTCCGCTCCAGCTGGGACCGGCTTGCAGCAGGACCATGGTGCAAAGCTGCCCAGTGCATTTCCCAATGTCCCCTCCCCAAGATAGCCCATGCCAAAGCCCTCCCTTGCCAGCAGCGTGGCCCCAACTCCACAGGAAAAGCTCCCTGCAAGCGCCGATAACAATAATCCACCACCCAGCCCGGCAAAGTGCTGCTATTTCCCTGCATTGACTTAGGGAAATTATAGACTCTCCCGCTAAACGCAGCCTGCTTTATATTCTGCCGTTGCAGCTCTGCCGGGGGAGCAGAGCAGCTTAGCTCTCCTCTTAATATTTTCCTAGCTGTTATTTCCCTTCCCCGCTCTCTCTGCCGGGGACATAAATATGCAGCGGCTGCCTCAGCGGCTGGGGGAGAATGGGAGCTATTTTTTTCCCTACGTTACACGCGGTAATTACTTCACACACAGTTAAATCTATTTTTCCGATTCGGCGAAGTCCCCGTGGTTGCTCTGTCCCTTTCCTGGCCCCAGGGGTGGTTTTCTCCTCTGTCTCCTTGTGTAGATTCATGGGGATGGAATCCATCCTCACATGAGCTCTGGGGTGAGGGGGTCAACGGGGGGAATTTTGGGGTGACCCCGCGCCGAACCGCCCCGCAGAGCCTGGCCACGCGGCTGAAGGAGAACATGGAGAAGCTGACGGAGGAGCGGGATCAGCGCGCGGCCGGCCCCAGGGGTGGTTTTCTCCTCTGTCTCCTTGTGTAGATTCATGGGGATGGAATCCATCCTCACATGAGCTCTGGGGTGAGGGGGTCAACGGGGGGAATTTTGGGGTGACCCCGCGCCGAACCGCCCCGCAGAGCCTGGCCACGCGGCTGAAGGAGAACATGGAGAAGCTGACGGAGGAGCGGGATCAGCGCGCGGCCGCCGAGAACAGGGAGAAGGAGCAGAACAAGCGCCTGCCGCGGGCGGCCCCCCGCGCCACAGGCGAGCTGGCCAAGAAGGAAGCGGAGGCCAGCCGCAAGAAGCACGAGCTGGTGAGGCATCCACGATGGGGCCAGGTGGGGGACAGGGGGGTTTCTGGGGTACCTGGCTCACCCCACTCCCTTTCTGCAGGAGATGGACCTGGAAAGCCTGGAAGCTGCCAACCAGAGCCTGCAGTCAGACCTGAAGCTGGCCTTCAAGCGCATCGGGGACCTGCAGGCGGCTATCGAGGACGAGATGGAGAGCGACAGCAACGAGGACCTCATCAACAGGTGAGGGCGCCTGGGCTGGCTCCCACGCTAGGCACGTCACGGAGCTCACCGGGGCTCACCGCTTCTCCCCACCACCTCGGAAATGCCACGGGGACCCCTCGGCTCTGCCCACCCTGTGCAGGTTGCCATCTGTCCATCTGTGCATCGTGCACCTGTGCATCCATCTATCCATGCACCCATGCACACGTGCATCAGTCCATGCATCCGTGCATCCATCTCCCCCTCCACCCACAGCCCTCGTGCAGCTTCACCCCTTGCAGAGGTGCCCAAAATGCAGCCAGGGCCATGCCTGCTGGCTGGAGGTCTGGGATGCTGGGATCCAGTCCAGCCTGGGACACTGGGATCCAGCTGGGTGCAGCCCCATGCCAGGGCTGCAGCGCAGCCATACTGCCCTCTCCCCACCACATAATTTGCCCCTTCCCTTGGTCTTTTTTTTTTCCTCTCCTTTCATTTGATTTCTTTTCTGTTGTGTTTCTCCCCCTTCCCACCCCTCCCCAATCCCTCCCAGTTTGCAGGACATGGTGGCAAAGTATCAGAAAAGAAAGAGTAAACTGTGAGGAGCTCCTCTTTCCTTCCTCCCCATCCCCTAACCCCCACCTCACCCCCGCGGGCCGGGGTCCCGCATGCCACTGGCCCATCTCCGCATGCCCTAACAGCATCCATGGCACGGCACAACACAGCACGGCGCATAACCACATCCACGCGAGGGGACAGGGGATGAGCCCCCGGGGCAGGGGGTGATGCTCCACCACGGCCTGTGCTGACCATATCGGCATGGATGTGCTGCCATGCACAATTAACATCCCCCATAGCAGTCGCTCCACTGCGACCCGGGTCCCACTTAACTAACAGCGCAGAAATTGTGTTTGACGTGGAGTTTAATTCCACCGGTTCTAAAACCTCAGCTGCCCCCCGGATTTGTTTTCGGGGCTCATTGGGGTATTTTTTGTTGTCATTCTGTGGGTTTTTTGTTGGTTTTATTTTTTCCCCGAGTCGAGCGTTGCCTGGATGTATTTCAGGGGAGGGAGACGTGAGTGATGGAGTGCGACTCCTTGCTTTGAATTTAACGAGGAGGATTCATATGCAGGGCCTATCCCAGCCTGTCCCCTGT